CCATTTCGCGGGGTGAATCTCGAAGGAACTCATAACCATTTCAAAGATGTGATTTTATACGCCTGGGCGTAACTTTATAGAGAATCTATTTAGTGCCTAGTGACAGACTGCCTCTATTCGAGGGTGTTTCGCTTGGGACGCGATTAATTATTGGGTTCCTTTTGGGGGCTGCGAAGCTCGAGGCTTTGAGCTCAGTTGGGGGTGGTCGGTGGTATGGGAAATATAAGATACGTTCACGGCCGACGTAGACACTCGGCTTAGCTTCCTCAGAGTATTAGATCAATAATTCTAACCTTAAACTGGCTCGGTCACGAGCATCGAACACGGTACTGCATGTAACGCGATATTGCTTTGCGTCGAATATTACTCTGAAGCACCTTTGCTCCGTCGGAATATAATGTTTCAATGGAGAGTTCGATATTTCGTTTCAATAAAGTTGCCTGGCTAATTTCTACGCCAAAGTTGCGTAGAATTTCATTTTACGAACTGTCATTCTTTTTTGGTTCCTCTTTCTCGATTTCAGACAATGAATATCGATATCCCGTTAAAATAAATTGTGAATGAAGTTGTTAACTAAAAGCATGAGATCAATTTAATTGATTAGATTAATACGTTAGAAGGTGGTTCATTAAATAACACTGATTTCAATAACCACATTACATAACGATATTAAATGAAATATCGTAAGAAGTAGAATCCTCGTTCCAAGTAAAAACATATGAACAAACCAATATTCTTTTTGATGTCATAATTTTAGTTAGTAACTTTATTCAGAAAACAGTAAAAAAAAAAAAATACTCACCATTGCAGTAGCGAAGATGTAGAATAATCATCGAAGCCGTAAATTTCTTCAAATATCAAATACGTTGTACAGAATCGTTGAAAATTTCACGTGTCGAGACGCTTTACGACCAGGGAAAACTATTCGTTCGAAAGAAACTGTATATTTTTTCACCGCACTAGAACGCATCGAGACGAGCAATAAAAATTTACGAGCCGAGAGATGTAATTTCGATGGTCGAGAACTGTCACGAACTCTGTTGAATTATGAAAAATTACTTTACGAGCAGGAGGGATGCTGCGTGGACCGCAGCATCCCCGATACTGACCGACAGACCCAGATTTTCGTCTCTTGAAATACGCGAAACCAGTTCTTTGCCGTTAATGCGCGCAATTAAGAAGTGGAATTTCCTTTTTCAAATTCTAAACATTCCCCACTCCGCGAGGACTTGCTCCCTTTTCTCTTCGATGCACGGAGGATGGCCATTGGTCCACGGCGACCGTGAGAACACAGGGTGGTCCAGAAGAACAGGTTCCTTTTTATCTTCGGAGACGTGCTGCAGCATCGAACTATCGATGCTCCCTTCTCGAATTTCCGAAACAAATTGCGCGTTTTTTTGTTCTTGTCCTCTGGCTTTTTTTCTTTCATGGGTAACGGATAACTCGTGTTCAGCTGCCCGCGTGGACAAATGATCGAGAAGTTTTGCAATGTCTGCGGTGAAGTTTCTGGTAGGGATCACTTTTATACGAGTTTATGAGCGCGGTTTGCGTTCCGTCGATGCATTATTCATGGTAATAAGATTTACAGTTGCATACTCATTTGTAAAGAAGGATTTGCAAACTGCGAACTTGTACAATCGGAAATGGAGATGGATTTTTGGCATTGTTTCTTCAGTAAACGGAATAGGATGGTTTAGCTGTTTCATTTGACAAAATATTTATTTGCTAGTTTATTTTAAGTAAATTTTCGTTCTTTCCTGTCTAAATATCTTCTTATAATTTTCTTTCGTTAATTCGTTTTTATTTACAGCGAGATATTGACAATATATACATACGTTAATTCCTTTTTTTATATTTATAAATATAATGACACGCCTATTATATCTTGTCAATATTATCAGAAATCTCTATTTATATCTTATTGTATCATATTTTAGATGTAATTTTTTATAGAAAAATTTCATGTATTATTAATTTTTATTTTACGTAATGAAATTATAATTATAATTTTTTGTCATTTCACATCATATTTACAGAATTTCTATGGTAAAATTAATTAAACGATTAAAAGTTATCTAGAACGTTTAAAAAATTACAAAAACCAGCAGTGACACATGACAATAGTATCACAGGCAAAATTGTTAAAAGTTGTTAAATCTGCCCCGGCCAGTTTCATCCCTTCAAACTCGTCAAGGATTTATTCCACGCATCTCGTGCGCGCCTTCGAAGGATGACCAGTGGTCAAATGCCGTGAGAAAAGTCCGCGGTCCAGAGTAGCTTTCCAAGTAGAACAGGTTTTCACGGAATCAGTTAGGATGCGAACAGATCTGCTGATTCTTTGTCTGTCTCATGGACCTGTTTCGAGCAGCTTCATTATCTTGGGAATACGTGAGAAATATTCTTGTTCAGCGTGAAAATATTTTCAACTACAACAATTTGTTACTATGTTTATTTACTGCTATCTTAATATGCAAAGTAAAATTTTTAAAATCACATTGGATAACTTGCGTTTCGCATGAGGTTTCATTCATGTGTATAATTCACTTTGAGATCAAATTTCACTTTGAGAAAATACGGATTTTCATGCATTTATGGAAGATTTAAATATTCAGAAATGCGCATGATATTAAAAAGAACATTCAAAATATTCGAAACAAAATATCTACTGGTTATGATATTAAGAAGATGA